TTAAGTACCTGCCAGGAGTACATACCAGCTGGGTGGCACCTCAAATGGGAAAGCGTTCCTATCATTTAAAAACAACCGGCTTGTTGCATCATGTCAAAGGGTAACACATTTATAATACTGATTTCAAAATGAACTGTAACCACAAGGTTTGTTTTGGACTCCATATACTGTCTCCTTTTCCCCCGAATCTGATAGGTAAAAAGTAAGAATTTAACCTTTTTTGAACAGTGAATTTAACAGTGTTTTAAACCACTACTATTCACTGGGCTACCACTCAAAAATGAGAATTCCAAAACATTTAACTGTGCTCACAGACCAAGATACAGTTGTTTGAACACAACAAGGGGATAATGTATGGCTTAAAATCAGAAAACCTGTGTGCTAGGGTTGAATACTTTCACCACACTTACTCGGTCTATATGCTGAGAAATTAATCTGAGAAGCTGGTTACTCTGACTAAGAATGTGGTATCATAATTGGAGGAAGACTCACTAACAACATGAGATACACAGATGACACAACCTTGACAGCCGAAAGTGAAGACGACTCAGCATTTACTGATGAAGATCAAAGACTACAAACTCAATGTGGATTATAACTCAACACAAAGAAAACAAAAATTCTCACAACTGGGGCAATAAACACTATGATAAATGAAAAGCCTGAAACTGTCAACGACTTCATTTTGCTTGGAGCCACAATCAACACTCTTGAAGGCAGCAGTCAGCAAATGTTAAAGAGCAAAGATGTCACTCTGATGACTAAGTTGCAATGGAACCAAAACTGTGGTATTTGCATGAGAAAGTTGGACAGTGAGCATGAAGACCAAACAAGAACAACGCATTTGAATTACAGTTTCGGTGAAGAATACTGCATACACCATGGACTGCCACGATGCCAGAATTTCTGTTCCTTAGAAGCCAGGATGTCAAGCCCCTGGCTTAGGTACTCTGGACACATTGTCAGGAGGTACCAGTCCCTAGAGGAGGGCACCATGCTTGTTAAAGTGGAGGATCAGCAAAAAAGAGCGAGACAATCAACGAGGTGGACTGACAAAGCAGCTGCTACAATGGACTCAGACAGAACCTAGTGAGGCTGGTGCAGAACCGGGCTGGGTCTCGTGCTCCTGCACACAGGGCTGCTATGAGCCAAAACTACCCAACAACACCTAGTAATAGCCACTTCTCGATGTCATTCTCCTAGCCCAGGCACATTTTCAATTCCTTCTCAGAAATTTATAAACATGCCATCAACATTGTTAAAGAGGCCTCTAAGATTACAAATGAAGTCTCATATTCCTGTACAATTTCCATAGTAATAGTTTTTAAATTGATGCAGTTTAATCCTTGGGAATCTAATTTTGCATAAAACGCAAATTTTACTTTCTTCCAGATGGATATTCAGTTATGTTCCATGTTGTTAAGTGCTGCTGAGTCGGTTCCGACCCACAGCACTCTGGGTAAGGTTTCCGAGGAGTGGTTGGTGAGCCTGAACTGCCGACCTGGCAGCTCAAACCAACTTAGCAGTCCAGCGCATTAACCCCCAGCAGCATACCAGGAGTAATACCACTTATAAAAGAGTTCGTCTTTCCCACTCTGAATTTCCAGACATTAAATAATTGTTTCTTCTGGGACAAGACTCTGAATTACCCTTTGACACTGATATGGCCCTTCTTATTCAAAGAATGCACTGTTTTGACTGTAGGAATTTATGTTATTGTTGTTAAATGCCACTGAATTGGTTCCGACTCACAGCAACCCTGTACAGGGTTTGTGAGGAGGGACTGGTAGACCTGAACCTCCAACCTTGTAGTTAGCAGTCCAGTGCTTATCCTACAGCGCCACACCAGGAGCTTTATAATATGTTCTAATATGTAAGTCCTGCTGTGGCGGTACAGGATGAGCACTGGCCTTCTAATAACAAGGTTGGTGGTTCAAACCCACCAGTTGCTCTTTGGAAATGCTATAATGGAGAAGGCAGGAAAAGCTGCACGATAAGGGAATGGTGAAATAAATTATGGTGCAGACTACCAAGTAATATGCAGCCATAACAAAAGCATATTCACATCTACCAGTTGATTAGCTTTCCAGAAGATAGTACTGAATGAAAGAGAGACAGAGAGGCAGAGAGAGATAAATGTTTATATTATCTTGATTTTGAGAAATAATGTCACTGTTCTTCTCAACCTCCCCAATATGCCAAGGAGTCTCAAAAAGTTCAAGAAAATATGGAATTAAAAGGTAATGGAATTTCCCCCAAAACTTTCTGAAAGCTGTTATCAGCACTGACAATACAATCTAGGTAATTACCAATAGTTACAAGGGCAGGAGAGGTGAAAGCAAGTGGAGGGAGCAGGGAGGGAAAGAGAAATAGCCTTAGAAGTCCACACTAAACACTGAGACAGACCCCAAACCTCCTGCCACCAGTGTGTGCATCAGCTGCTGCTATAAAGTGCATACATGGACATGTAGAAAACAGGTTAGCTTGTATGTTGAAGACTAGACACTACTGACCAGTAGATCATATTTGTGTTCATTTTTAGATAAACTGAAATAGAGACAGAGAAGTGGCCTCCGCATGTCAACTCATCCCAGACCTAGAAAAAGTGACACAGATGACCTCTCCCACTGCTCTTCTTTTCCTCAACACTTACAGTCCTCTCTCCTACACTCCCTGAAACACAACCAAAGCAGCCTATCCCTTGTGTGTCAAGCATTTCACAGTGAGCCGTTTTTAAGTAACAAGTTTACATTGCAAATTTGATTCCCCTTTGACAGTGTCTATGTTACATGCTATATTAGTTGTACTCATCAGCGTAAGGAGTTACACTGATCAATGACATTGGTCACATTTTCCACACTGTGTCAATACTTCTAATGACTATGTTCTGGTTGTTCAGTTTCCAGTATTCCAGCCCCTCTAGCCCTGTGTCGTCTCATCTTTGTTGTCAATGAACTATGGACCTTTTGGACCTATAAAGGTGTTTCTTTGGTAGTGCACTGACCTCAGGGGTAATCTGCATGCCACTCTGCTTTTCTGTTAGAAGGTGATCTCAGGGGATAGCTTTGCTTAAATAGCACAAAAACACCTCTCGTAGATGGAGCAGCTGGGGACTCTAGACTCAAGGAGGGAGAGGGGCTGTGTGCTGGCGGCTGGGGGGCAGGCTTGCAGGGTATGCCTTTTGGTTGTTTGAATGATTATATATATATTCCTGAGTGCTTTGGTGTTCAAACAAAAAATAAGCAAACAAAGAAACAGAGGGAATGGAAGCAAATGCTGTTAAATGATGATGCATGGAGTGGATTGTAGTCATTGCAATGAAATGAAATACAATAGGATGAGTGTATAACCGATGTTTTCCCATGTAAACGATCACTCAATTCACAATACACTTAAAAACAAAAACAACAAAAAACAAACACCTCTTCTAAGAATGATGCTAAACTGATTTTCTGATCATCTTCCATCACTAGCAAAGTTTTCAGAACATTTAGAGTAGAAACTCTTGTTTCACAGGTAAGCTACACTAGAAGCCAGGTCATCTTTTAGGTAACCTGGTGATGTATCCCCACGGAAGGTAAGATGAGGCATGATTTTGAGCAACAATAAGGAGGTAATGGGTGCTTCCTAATAAAAACAGGACTGACATAACACTGCCTACTGATTGGGACATAAAACCAAGGTTCAACACAATATCGACTTTTATGACTTATTTCTCATTTTTTTTTTTTTTTTACACCAAAGTCTAAAAAAACAAAATAAAAACAAGACCTGAAATTAAAGCATGTTAAAAATATATGATAGGATGAATGTAAAGCTAATGTTCTCCCATGTAAACTATCACATAATTCACATCAAACATTTAAAAAAAAAAACCTTTAAAGCATGCTGTAGTCATTACTCTGTAGAGTGATTGTCCACTTTCCTCTCCAAAAGTTAAATCAGAACAGATTTGTCACGATTACAGTTTATCCCGAACATAAGCTAGGTGGCTGAATTTTAGAAGCACTCCTTGAAATCAGACCACCCATGATCATAGCAGAATTTTAAGTCACTCTGTTTAGATTGATATCAAAGAAGAATTCCAAGATTCAGAGTTTTCCCTGTTGTTATTGTTGTTAAGTGCATTGAGTCAGTTCAGACTCACAGTGACAACCCTGTATAGGGTTTCTGATGAGTGGATAGTTGGTTTGAACCACTACCTTGTGGTCCAATGCTTATCCTACAGTGCCAGACCAAGACTCCGTTTTCCCTACAGACCTCTTCCCTAGTGTTATTGCTAAGTGCCATTGAGTCTCTTGCAGCTCATAGTGACCCTATGGAGGGTTTCCAAGCAGCGGCTGGTGAGTTTGAACCGCTGACCTTGTTAAATCTAGAAATAGAGCTTCTAATGTAAGCACATAAGAAAAACAAATACATAAAAAGCAATAAAAAGTTTAAAGTTATCACAGGTAAATTCAGTGGTGGTTAAGTGAAGTGGAAAGTTGAGATTAAAGGAAAATCCACTGCTGTCGAGTTGATTCTGACTCGAAGAACAGCCCCATAGGGTACCTGAGGTTATTAATGTCTACAGAAGCCGAATGCCTATCTTTCTCCCATGGAGTGGCTGGTGGGTTCAAACAACCCAGTCCTTAACCACTGTGCCACCAGGATACCTACGAATATTAAAGGAAGGATTACTTACTTATATTACCCAAAGGTTCCTAAATGACTTGACCAGGAGTAGGACTACACGCTAATTATCTTTTCTTCCTAAAAGTACTCTTGCATGGTTTCTTTAAATATCACTCAGCTTGGCGTATATGTACAAAACTTTTGAAACATGAGAGAGCTTCCAAAAGTTCATGGAGAACTGGAATTGAAAGAGAAAGGAGCCTTTCCAGGGCATCTGTGAAGCAGGCCATGAGGGCTGCAGAAATGCACGTCCCAAGGCTCAGCCACCTGCAGACTCACCATTAACACAAAGGAACAAACACACTCCTGCTGAAAATGTTGCTTACCTTCCCTCCATATTGAGGATACACACCAGTTCATCCTCAAAAAATATTTCTGGCCCCTCAAGGTTCTCAATGTCACTGAAACCGTTACAAGGGACCTGTGAAGAAGACAGAGAAAAACAGGCCTCAGTACTGAGTCATGAGGTAGCTGTCTCTCTCATACAAACCTGGGGTATAAACAAAGATGCTGGCTTTTTAACCAGGGTAAACAGGTGACCCACCTGATTTTGTACACTTTACTGAACATGAAAAGAGCAGTAATTGGTTCAGATCCTCTTGCTACTTGTTGATTAATCATACTTTCAGACTAGAATTTTGGAAACTGAGAATTCAATATTTTAAAGTGAAGAAGATCACATGGCTCTGAAAGAGGGACCAAATCTCAAAATTTGAGATAACCGTTTCATGCCATCTACACTGAACTCAACCAGGAGAGGTGAGAATACTGCCCTGGTAGCTTCCTTAGCTCCCAGGCTTGATTTCTCCTTTATAAATGGAGATGCTATTACACATAAGCTTTATGATCCTTTCACCTCAAAATCCTATTACTTCTGTCAGGTTCCTTTTTAAAGGTAGCCAGGAAATTTCACATGACTAAACCTGTGTGCCTGCTGAGAATACAACACAAACATCCTGGACCAAAGAAACCACCCACCCACCCACAGATCAATCTGACGTACACTCTTGCTATGTTCAAACTCCTTGCTTGTAGCCTAATGAGAATTAATCATTCTCGGAGAAAGAAACAAACTGTTGACAAAAAGTCCACAAAATCCACTGGACCAGAAGTTGAGGCTGATAGCTAGAGTTATAACATACATGTGCACAAATCTATTTAAGCTAAAATATAAATTTCTGATCACCAGTGCCTTTAACCAGGACAGGGCCCCTACAAAGTAGAAATAAAATTTGCCTATTCTAATATCAATCAACATTTATAGAAATTATACCAGAGAATGGAGTCCTGGTGCAGCACTGTAGGATAAGCACTCGACTGCAAGGTTGGTTTGAACCGAAAGGCTGGCAATTCAAACTCACCAGCCGCTTCTTGGACACCCTACATAGGGTCGCTATGAGCTGGAACCTAACTCGATGCCACTTAACAACAACTAGAGAATCTCCCTTTGTATTTTCCACAAGGAAGTTCAATTTTTTTCTTTCAAAACTTGAAGTCTTCAAAATATTTTATTTAAATTAATGAACTCCATTAATGAGTTGTTGTTAAAGGCTGTTGATTCGTTTCTGACTCATAGAGATCCTATATAGGGTTTCTGAGGAGCAACTGGTGAGTCTGAGCCGCTGACCTTGTGGTTACCAGTCCGGTGCTTACCCTAAAGCACCATACCAAATGGTTGTGGTAGTGTGCCATGGAGTTGGTTACAACTTATAGTGATCCTGCATAGGGTTTCCAAGGCTGTAAATCTTTATGGGAACAGAAAGCCTCATCTTTCTTCCACGATACTTTCGAACTGCTGATCTTAAGGTTAGCAGCCTGACTCATAACTACTATGCTACCAGAGCAATGAAAAATTAGATAAAAAGTAAAATAAATAAGAATGGCTCAATGTCTAGACCCCAAATCAAAACAAATGATCTAACAGTTTGGTGAACTGACAACATTACTATGGGCTATTTTCCCAAGTTACAGAAAGGTTATGAGTTGAGAGGCAGAATGGGCAGAGAAACTTCCAAGAGCCATTCTGAGAAGGGGTATTGTTGTTGTTGGAGGGGAGGGGGAGGGGAAATAAAAAGTCATGAATTTCAGATATATACATATATGGATCTATGGTAAGAGTAGTTTGTTACAAGTTAGGTTGCTAACCTCAAGGTCCTTGCGAGAAAGATGAGGCTTTCTGTTTCCATAAAGATTTAGAGTTTCAGAAACCCTATGCAGGGTTGCCATGAGTCAGAAGCCACTATATATATATAAAAATAAACTTCAAAGGGATAATCAAAGCAAGACAGTTTTATTGTAGGAGTAATCATTCAGATTTGCATGTAGTTTTGAATCCTTCTGTCATTTAACAACACAAGGAGCTCTGGTAGCATAGTGGTTATGAATCGAGCTGTGAACGTTAAGATCAGCAGTTTGAAACCACCAGCTGTTTTGTGGGAGAAAGATGAGGTTTTCTGCTCCTGGAAAGATTTATAGCCTTGGAAACCCTGTACAAGGTCACTATGAGTCAGAACCGACTCCACGGCACATAGCCACCACCACCACCATTCACTACCAGTTAGATCTGCAAAGCCTTCTGGGAAAACAACTAATGGAAATCTGTAGTGGTCAGTCATTGATGATCCTCCCCACACCGCAAATCAAGGGTGGTGGTGGTGGTTGTGTGCCCTCAAGTCAGTTCAGCTCCTAGCAATCCTGTATAGGGGCTCCAAGGCTGTAAATCTTTAGGGGAGCAGAAAGCCTCATCTTTCTCCTGCAGCGCAGTCCTGGTAGATTGAAACTGCTGACCTTGCCGTTAGTAGCCCAGACTGTAATCCACTACACAACCAGGGCTCCTTTCCAGATCACAAGTCAATTGCAAAAACAAAAAAAAAACAAAACACATTTCACCCACTTGAAGAGAAATAATGCCAATCTGGTCTTTGCAGATCATGATTCGCGTCCCTCCCCACCACCTGCACCCCCATTCTCGCTCTGGCTTTGGGAAAGTAATGCTGGCAGGGACAAATGCCTTCATGCTGGAAAAGCACACAGTGACTCTTCTAGCCCTCTGGGCCCCTGCTTGTGAGAGTTGAAAGAGGGGGGAGAATCAAAGAGACGTGATGAGCTAATTCCTACAGGAACCAGCCACACAGGACTGCAAGGCAGATCCTTACGTGCTCGGAAAAGAACCTCTTTGAAAATGAGGCTACTATCTTCCGGGCTTCTAGACCAGCTTTCTGCCGAACTTTATACTCCTCCAACCAATTGACGTAGTCGGTGGGGCTGTAGTGTTTCATCAGAGAAGGCCACCTACAAGGAGAGAAATAACCCTCTCAGCTTCACAGAGACTTTAGATTTCAAAGGCAGGCAGCCAGGAATCAAAGGCAGCCTTGGGAGCAGGGAGCAGGGGGCAAGCAGTGGGGTTCAGTGATAAGGAGGAGACCCTGGAGATGGTCCAGATTCAAATCTCCACCAGTCACACACGCAGGCATTCACTCACTCATGGTGTGACCTTGGCAAAGAAACTGATCTCCATTCCCCGTTTATAAACTGGGGAAAAGAGCAGTGACAACAACACTAAAGATTGACAATGAGTGTTAAACGTGTATGGGATCCGGGGTCAGCGCTTCCCACACTGCATCTCTGTTTAGTACCCACAGTTAAGAGGCAGGGCTCATTAGCATCTGTATTCAAAAGTACAGGAAAATCAGAGGCTTGAAAAAAAGGAAAAAACTAAAGAAAAAGGGAAGTGGCTACCGCCAAGGTCATCACACATGAGTGCAGGGCCGTGATTGCACCGGGCGCAGCCTGGGATCGGTGCTCTCAGCCAGCAGCCAGGGGGCTGCAGGGCCCGCGGTCACCCGACTGAGGACTGGGTAAGCAGGTCCGCGCAGATACCGGCACAAAAGCGCCCAAACGGACTAGACTAGCGGGGACTCCAGCATCGTCATGCCTTAGGCAGGGCCGTCTGCCTGCGCTTGCAGAGGCGCCATTTGGGCACTAAGGGTCCGCAGCGGCCTGGAGGCCTTTGTTTGTCTGTCTGTCTGTCCGCCGGAAGCGCTTTGGGGTGGGGGTACTGGCTGTGGCGGTGACTGGGGGGCCGCGGCGTGGGGGGCTCGGGGAGGCGGGGCACGGGGCCGAGGGCTCACCTCACCCGGAACTGCTCCTTCCACACCTTCCCGCTACTCTGGCAGAGCTCGCGCAACCGCCTGCAGGTGCTAGACACGCGGCCGATGTCGGTGGCCGTCAGCGAGCTGCAGCACAGAATGTACTCCAGCACCTCGCCGGGCAGGTTGACGAGACAGCTGAAGCCCACCACCTCTGACGCGGCCTCCTCCGCCAGCGCCGGCACCACCTCCATCGCGCAGTCGACCACTGCTGCCGCCGCCATCTTGTCCGCGTACCTGCGACCACCGCGCGCGCGCCTGCGACTAAGTGCCTGGCTTTGCCCCGCCCACTTGCTTCCAGGGGCGGGCTCCAATGTCACCCCGCCCACACTATGGCCACACCCACAGCCCCAGGGGTTGCGCTGCTTGGCCAGACCTCAGAACGCCAGAAACACAAGGAGTCTTGGTGTGGCGCTGTGGGATAAAGCACAAGGTTGGCGGTTCAAACTCACTAGCCACTCTTTGGAATCAGGGTCCCTCTCATGAGGACCCATGCGACAGAATAGGACTGCCCCAATTGGTTTCGTAAGCCAGGGTCCTACTGTGACCTTGTAGGATAAGCACTGTACTGCAACCCCAGCCACTCCTGGGAAACCATATACAGGGATGCTATCAGCCGGAACCAAGTCAACGACACTTAACGAAAATCTTTATGGGAGCAGGTTGTCAGGTCTTTTGCCCACTGAACAGCCAGTGGACTCAAACTACCAAAACTTAGCATTTAGCAGCTGAGCATTTCAGTTAACCATTGCACCTTGCCCTAACAGCCATAAGAACTATTAT